AAAAACACCTAAATATAGCCTACTTGTTGTGATTGTGTGTCTTTTCATCTGTAAACTCCGTCAACGGGGCCGCTCGCTCTCTTTTCTTGATCGCCCTCTCATGGGTGAATACTTCACTGTCCCGCTTCATTGTAGAATTTCTGCCATGTCTCTACCACTTTAGTTTGACCATCCCTGTTACTAAGTTACGGAATACTAAATAGCCTAAATAAGTAATTAGATACCTTACCGTTACTGGCTGCGCTCATAATGATAAGAATAAGAATAATGCGTATTGAACTGGTTTCATTAAGTAGTGAGTTTATTTAAGGTAGCCTAATTAGTTAGAAGCAGGGGTTAAATTGGGATGTGATATGTGGGGGGGGGGGGGCTCTGTGTGGAGGTGCGAGAGGGGGGGGGGGGGGCGGAGGTCGAGGATCTCATTATTTGACCTTAAGGGATACAGGCCTACACTGTGGCCCTAAAGCAGGGGTGGGGAACCTCCGGCCCCCGGGCCGTATACGGCCCGAGAGACCATTTGGTACGGCCCTCGAGGTAATTTATAAACACACGCAAAAAATTAAATAAATCTAGATCGCAAAATAATTAAACAAGCGAGTGCCTGTTTTTCCTGGCAACGGTCATGGTCCTTGAACACAACACGAGCCTATCGTGTCATCACATGGTATATGTCTCGTCTGATAGGGGTGCAGTTCTGACGGAGAGCACCAGAATGCCGCTCCGGCACTTCACAAACTGCAGTACCCATAAGGAGCCGTACACATGCTGCAGTTTTTGCGTGGCTGTGTCTTTAGTTGAAAGCCCAGTGGCGATCTGTTCATCTGTCATACTGATCATACAGTCAATAACTTTGTTGTTATTAGCATCTGGTTAGCTAGCTATGCTAATGAATATAAGAAGCTTTTTCTACAACCAGTGAGGTAAAGGGACATCTTTATATGATCATTATAGTTATCAAAACACAAGAGAATAAAGTAAACAGGTATAAAATACTATATGACAGTAAACAAAAGTTGTTATTAATAAACAAGAATACAGTTTGAAAGGGGAGTGATTTGTAAAATACCCATAAAGAAAAAGTAAATCTGCTTACAGTTCTGTTTCATCTGGGTGTTGAGAGATGTATCCATAGATCTCTTAATGTTGCTCTCAAAGTGCACCAGATTGATGCTTTTAACTTCAATATTTAAAAAAAAATCTTCCCAGGAGACCCGGACCCCCCTAGAGGAGGTTAGGTCCACCCCACTTAAATCATGTCCACATGGATAGGAAACTAAATACATTTGCACACATCTTGTGTCCATATCTTTCTGTTTGGTGGTCATGCCACACCGTGCACGTGCGTGCATGCGTGAGTCATGGTGAGATATCTGGATTAAGAGGTTGCTTTTTCTTTGCACAGCATGAAAGAAAGGCCAAATGAATGGGCTGTGATTTTTAAGCAGAGGTCAATAATTTGTACGGCCCTCGGAGGATGTTGAAAAAATTGAAATGGCCCTTGAGAGGAAAAAGGTTCCCCACCCCTGCCCTAAAGCAACTGCTCCATTATCTGTATCAAATGCAGACATTGATGCCACCAAATGTCACAATAAAAATAGAAAGTACTACAAATAAACTGGAATTCATTTACATCTTAAATTATGAATATATATACACAAAAAAAGGTTTACAAATATCCAACCTTCAAATTGCTTTTTTAAATCAACAATGCACACTTGCTAAAGAACATTTGTGTGGAAATCTCAATTCATTTGTAGGGCTGCGTGAGTATGGCCAAAAGTATGGGAGTAACTCTCACTGTAAACAATTTAATCATCACCAAATTCTGTGTTATTATGACCGATCATAACTCAGCTTTATGCAGACATACATTTAGCATGGTGTACAGGGCCGCTTCTTGGCATAGGCGGTCGCCTAGGGCGCCAGATCTTGGGGGGGGGGGGCGCTGCGCTGGCAGCTCTGGGAGGGAAAAAAACATTTTGACTCTTGCGCTCATCCTAATTTTCAGCCTTGATATAACAACATTCATAATTAAGTCAAGGTAACACCCTTTTCACCCCGGTTACACTTTTCATTTGCCCTGTACGATGGGCGCTGTAAGTGATGAAAGTGGGGGATGTTGGCTTATCAGGCGTCCGCAACTCACAGCCAAAGTGGGTGTGGGATCGAGCGAGAGAGATAAATGCAATTTATGTAAACAAATATTTCCAAGGCACTCTTTTATAATTATTGGGGTAAACAGGTTTGAAATCATTTCAATGTATACTATAGGACAGGGGGTCCCAAACTTTGCCATGCCAAGGACCCCATATAGCATTATCCTCTGGCGGGGAGCCCCCTGTTGCAATTTTTTTTTTAAATGATGAGTACATTATGATGGAAAATATGACAAATTAATCATACAGCTTAATACATTTTCTTAATATATATTTGTATTAATAATTAATAATCAGTTAATCCAACACAGTCTCGTAAAAAAACGTGTAATAACTACGTTGGTCCACAACGTAGGATGTAGTATTTCTACAAAAACGCCTCTGAAATTGTAAGATCCCTACGTTTTTTTTCACCATTCATTCCAATGGCTGGCGTCTATGTCATGTGATCTTCACATTTCTCCCTGCAGAAAAAAAAAACATGGCCGACATTCGTTTTATTCTCGGTGGAAAATGCCTATTTTAAGGTTAGTTTGGCCATTAAAATGCGTTTTGATGTAATTTGATGCGAGAAATATGAGTTGATGATGATCTTTAGTTTGCTAGTTATTACGAAGATTACTTCAGGAAATTGTGTCTATACAACGTTTTCATTGTTACCAAGGTGGTTGCTAGGGATGCTGCTATCGATATTATTTCTGTTATGTTGTGTAACTGTTTAATGGTGTTATCTTTATTGCTACCCCCTTCCCCGTCAATGTATAGTGTTGGTCCACAGCGCAAACATATTAGTTTAACAAAATCTGCATCTAAAATTGTGGCATAGTGTGGTGCTGAGAGATGGGAGTCGGAGGCGGGGTATCAAAGGTACAAGCTAGACTTTTATTTAGCATCTCAAAACACATGTAAACAGCTTCATGTCCGGGAAGCGAAGACCGGCGGAGACAGGAAGTCCGGCTCACTAAAATGTCCGTGCAGAACAATACCCTAACCCATAGATCCGTGGGCGAATAATGTCAATCACCACAATAGATACGTTATTTTCCCCTGTGCAATTCTCCATTTACTCAACAATAACACATAATTATCCTTGTGTTTATTTATTTGTTTGATTAATAAACACAAGTTGGAGTCAGTCAGGACCGAGGGTCGGAGCAGCTCATTTGCTTTACAGAATATTACACCCGGAAGTAAGTATTCTCTCCGCTTCGCTTGACAAACCCCGTGATAGTCCTCAAGCTCTGTGATTGGAGAGTGTGCAGAGCGTCGAACAGCACATGAAATGGGATGGAACCACGGCAGACTGTCCAAAACTGGATTTGAACGGGTCCACCGCGTCCCCCCCTCCCCCACCCCGTCCCCAGAACTACACATGCTGGCTATTGTGTTTCGCAACATGTTCTCTATCTATGGCACGTCTCTACTGGGAATTGTAGTTTTAAAAGACGTTTTCATATTTCCCATAATAAGAAGTTCCCAGTATTAAACTGTGTACATCCCTGGAGGTTTAGGGGATAGGAAACACTCACATTTAAAACATATAATTAATAAATGGGTGAAAAGTGCTTGTGCCCATAATGGGCAGCATTAATATATATACCCACATGCCAGCTAAGGTCAGAAGAGCTTTATTTAACAGCTGGTCTTATGTCTGTGACCCCTCCTATTGTTCATTGATAAGCCTGAAACATGCACTTGTCAAGGTTCAGAGGCACATTTTGCAAATCTGGCAGTAGCCATCGATCATCTTAAGATAAGATATACTTTATTGATCCCAAGTTGGAAACATTTGCGTTACATCAGCATGTGTAACAGTTGTAAATATGCAGTGGTGTTTATTTGTAAATCATTTAGTATAATCACACAAATTCTGTGTTTTATATTTAATAATTCTGTGTTCTTTATTTATTGATTGTTCAATACCTGACAAGGTCGGAGATGAAAAACTTGGGTCGCAGGTTCCTCAACAGTGCATTACAAGACATCTATCAATATGTGTGAACCTCCACCATTAAATTGTCATATTCTGCACATTTCTTATACTATCTACATACATCTTATAAGAGTATAATACATATGTATAATATCAGTTAAAATATGTGCTTCAACATAGTTAACATTGCTGGAGGTATACACAAAGTTTTACATTCATTGCATAACTACACCGTTTGTGAATATGTCAATAAACCTTAGAAAATCTTGAAATCTTGAAAGGGATGTGCAAAATAGTCATTATATACAGTCTTTAATTAACTATTAGTAGAGAATAACGAGTAATGAACATACTTTATAGGGATTCTATTAATATCTAATAATAAAAATAATGAAATTCAATAACATGCTTTAACCACTAGGTGTCCCTGTATATCAGGTGTGCAAGTTTATGGTGTAAATACAGCCTATCTACCAATAGCTTGGTTTCACGTGACGTCACACCGTTGCGTTCCTTTGGCGCGAAATTCCATTGGAGGTCAGGAAGTAATTTTCTACAGAGAATCTAGCTGCTGTTACCATTGTGAAAATGCCGGTGTGTTGTGTAGTTTACGGTTGTTCCAATCGATCCGGCCGAGAGAAAAACAAGAGGTTTTACCGAGTGCCGAAGGTTGTCGTCCATAAAGCTGAGCAATTTAAGAAGCTAACCGAAGAACGCCGGAAAAAATGGCTTTCAAACCTACATCTGCGGTCGGGAGGAGCAGAGTCGTCTAATGCACGGGTCTGCAGCGACCACTTCGTCAGAGGTATTAGCTAACTTGGTTTTTGTGGCTTTGTTTAGGTATTATTGGGTTGTGGTTAAATGTGTATTTACTTAGTAATACTGATCATGTTTAAGTTACTTGTAGTCTAATATGGACTTTGTTGGGACTTTTTAGGGTGCCCTAGCGCTTTGGGTGACGTTGAGTCGGTAGACTGGGCTCCCACTGTTAGCCTCGGTTACCACACAACAAGTAAGCCCAGATCAGAGGCATCTCTTCGACGAGAGCAGAGGATGGAGCTCAAGGAAGACCAACAAAGACAATCAGAATGTGCAGAGGCTTTGTTGGATCTCCTGCAGACAACCGAGAGCCCAGAACCGACGCAGCCCCCGTCTGACGGCCCACAACCAGAGGACACCAGTGGGATATTAAATGACCAACAAGGTAAATTAACCACCAGCATTATTATTAAATATTACAAATGTGATTGTCAGGAAATCAATGCAAACTTTGAATTAGGTTTAGAAAATAGAGCACTAATTTGAGAATCTGCAATAATTGGAACAGAGAACTTGCATGTCTGTAAAAAGGTTGTCAAAAAGATAACTTCACAAAAATTCACATTCATATTTGACTATTTTAAATAACTAATTATGCTTGCTACTGCTATATTGTATGCAGATGCAGGATGCCAGACTGATTTAACGATGGAGGACATCGAGAGGATGGAGGATGTTCTGAGACAGAACACAACAGAGCTGGGAGATCTTCGGACAAAGGCACTGGACACAAAGTTCAACCAGGAGTCCTTTGAGAACAACGAAGAGAAAACAAAGTTTTACACCGGGCTCCCCAACTTCTTAGTTTTACTTCAGGTTTTTCAACTGTGCGAGCCCTACATCACCTGTGGCCCTATGTCTGTGCTCTCCAAATTTGAACAGTTCATTTTAGTTTTGCTGAGGCTGAGACTAAATCTCCCTCTGAAAGATTTGGCTTTCAGGTTCAACATCTCTCTCTCCACTGCTTCTAGAATTTGGCATAAGTTAATTGACATACTTCACGAGAGTACAGAATTTATAATTGAGTGGCCAGAGCGACATGTACTTCAAGCTACAATGCCAATGGGATTCAGACAGGCATTTGGATGTAGAGTTGCTGTGATTGGACTGTTTTGAAGTTTTTATTGAGAGGCCCTCTAATTTACTAGCTAGAGCACAAACATGGTCCAACTACAAGCATCACCATACTGTTACATTTCTGATTGGTGTTGCTCCCCAAGGCTATGTTACCTACATATCTTGTGCCTGGGGAGGAAGAGTTAGTGATAAACAGATCACAATACAGAGTGGGCTCCTAAAAAACCTGTTACCTGGAGATATTGTCCTAGCAGACCGTGGGTTCGATATTGCCGATAGTGTGGGATTTTACTGTGCTTCACTAAAGATGCCTGCATTCACCAGGGGGAAAAGTCAGCTGTCAGCATACGAGGTAGAAGAGACAAGAAATATAGCTAATGTGCGTATTCATGTCGAAAGAGTCATAGGATTAGTCAGAAGAAAATATCAGATTCTGCAAAGCAGGGCTGTGCCCATAGAGCACATGCTAACAAAACCAGGTGAGGCACTAGCATTAATTGACAAGATTGGGGTTATTTGCTGTGCCTTGTCTAATCTGTCAGTGTCTGTCATCCCATTGGAGTAAAGTCATGGAGCTGTAGTCTTGTAAATAAGAAACCATGTATTATTCAGTATCATTTAATCTTTTCAGTAAACATCTTTTTGTGTTCAAACATCTTGTGTTCAAGTCTTTTCAGTAAACATCTTTTTGTGTTGTAAATTGTGTAGCCCTACTCAATATACAACTTTCATCTACATTCAGGCTTAATTCATTCAACAATATTCTAGAGATGACAATTGGTCTGGTGACGCTCCCATGTATGGCCATTGAGGGTTATTGTAAATGTAAATAAGAAACCATGTATTATTCAGTCTTAGTATCATTTAATCTTTTCAGTAAACATCTTTTTTACAATAGCAATATATCACACAGCCCTACTTCCTCTAGTGAGTGTGGTCAGTGAATATGAAGGTGCTGTAATGCAGGTTAAAGAGCTGCCACTGTGCAAATGTTACGTTCCCTTGTAAATATATGGGTACAAAGGGAAGTAGCGACACACAACATAACCGGCCGAGAGAAAAAGGAGAGGAAACTGATCTCTGACGCCATAAAGTGGTCTTTTAATTAACACAACGAAAAAGGGCTCACCAGCCAACTTGTCAAACAAAGCTTAAGATAAGGGGAGAGCGACTGCAACCTTCCTCATGTCCTATATGGAGGTGCTGATTGGAGATTGGGAGCACCTGGGGAGATCAGAGGGAGAGAGAAAAAGACACCCACACACACCCAAACACCAGCACCCACTACGGCACGTAATAATAATGCAACAAGGAGAGAACCACAACTTCCGGGACCAGGACAGACCACAGGTGCTGGTAATCACGCCTTCTCTCCCTCCTGATCATCTTGCAACTGAAACTGAAAAATGGAACAGCAGACAGGGAGAGGAGGCTTTTAGTCACCTGATAGTTATGCACTATCATGTTCTTGTGGAAAGAAATGAGCACACCAACTCTTTATGACTTTTACCTTTCCCCTTGTAAGTTGCTGTCCCAACACTTCAGGGAGAACACATAGTCTGAAGAAACGCTCAACTCTGGGAATGATGTTGTCCCACAGGTCCACATCACGCACAATTCTCTCTACAAAGAGGTCATTTTTAGTCCAGACAACAAAGTCGCAGTAGTCAACATCAACGAGGTGGAGCTGAGCCTGTATTTGATGGTAGTAGGCATGTCTCCTGTCCAGCTTCACAGTGCCCCCATCGTTGACGAGACAGAAGCCCTGTTCTCCAGCACACAGGCGAAGATTGGCCTCCTCTTGTTTGCTGTGTGGGCACTAAAAGTTCAATGAAAAGAAAAGTAATATATTGTACTGTAAATAAGTGTCTGCAGCTCAAAATGTATTGGGAGAGGATCCCCAGACTCAGGATCACGTCACAATCCTATACTTACCCGCTTTACTGTAGCACAATACTGAACAAATAACTTACCTTTATCTCACAGATACCAGTTCCATGGCAGGTGCACGTGACACCTCCGTCTGGCGACGCTCCCATGTATGGCCATTGAGGGTTCAGCCAAAGCCCGCTGTCTTTACAGCTGAAACCCTGGTGGTGCAGACTTTGTACTCCTTCATACTGATTTCGGGCAGTTGCCTCGTATTTGCACACACACACACACACACACACACACACACACTATTTTTATGCATTGAATATTTTGTGAATCATGTTTTGTAATGATAATGAATTTAGTTATAAGTTACTTGTACTGTAACTTACTGATATACGTGATATAATCAGCGTATACCACGGGTAGAATTGTAAGTTACTTTTCACAACAAGTCGGTATCCCTCCGCGTCTGAGAAAAACTGTATACAGTTTGCTTTTCTGATTGGCTCCCTAATCCCTAATAAATACCTTGTTGCAGCTGTAGAGAACTTGTGTGCCTCTGGGTAGCATATGGACTTGATCAAGGACTTTGATGGCTGTGCAAGACTAGTCTGTAGAACCTGCTTCAGTCTTGAGGCTGTGATCCTTCCTGCTCTTTGGCTAAACCATATTGGTGATAAGCTCTGGTTTCTGGTCTCCTCCTCTACTGCCTGGACCTGTGGCTGTGTCAGCTCTTCCTGTCTGAAGTCCTGGCATGCATTCTGCAACTCTGTTGGGGATAGCTGTAGATCTCTGGTGTCCTATACTGAGGTAGTGGTTTAGGTAGCTTGCTCACAGATTTAGGGACACATTCTCTGTAATATGGTTCCCTGGAGATCAGTGCAGCACTTCTTGGGGAATTTCTGCTCAAAGTCTTGAAAAACTGCATATACCTCTCTGATCCTCGCTCCAATTTTGAACCCTGGACTGTGGGACGCTGAAATGTGTGCTTCTCACCTGTCCTTCCAGCAATGGCATCATCCAGTTTTTGCTTTTTGGATTTTGCGGATGAAAAGTCTATCATCGCAACTGGAGCAGCAGGAATCTGCACATGTGAGAGACAGACCAACATGTATGTGAACATACATGTAGGTGCAGTGTAACAATGAGACAGGCAAGGACGGCATGAACAGCTGACTGACCACTGGGGTCTGAATACCTTTTTGACATGTGATGGCATTAGCCACTTGCACTTCTCAGTGGTGCAGGATGCAGTCTCTCTCATCTTCACACCTGCTTCGATTGCAAACAGAACTGCTCCAACATGTGAGCAGGATTCTGACAAACTGTATAGACAGAGACATACTAGAATAACTAGATTGATCGTAAAAGCTAGTAATGGTATAACATGAATATTATAGCAGGCATTATTTTGTCTGAGCTTAAGTGTTGTGTCAAATATGCTTTGGGTTGGGATATTTATTTTATGACTTACCGAGCCATACAGTTACAGTGTGCTGTAACAACCTCTCCATCTTCTTTAGCTACAATCCACGTTTTTAAAATGGTGTTTCTCCAGACCTCTGGGAATGGTTGACCTACACAATTGAAGCTCCAGTTCACAACTTGCGAGTTGGTAACATACATTTAACAACATCACAAGCAACACATAACCAGATGGTCTTGGTAAAGAGGTTGTTTTTAATATTAACCTCAACATAGAGTGATATAAACAACGTGCAGGCTGTTCAAAGGCTCTGAGCTGTCTATACACACAAAACACAATATATCCTAAGCTAAACACATAACAAACATACACATATATAAACACACAACACACTCACAGGCCAGTTAATGCTGAAGGCAAGGCGACAGCCGTAACACTGCCTTACATGAGTCCATGTAGCTAAAGTTAGCTAGCTAGATGTCTCCTAATAATGCTACTTAGAGGTAAGAAGGTATAGGTAGTTAACACTCACCCGGGAAAAAACAAGGCGACATTTGTTTAATGCCTCTTTGGTGCCGAGGTCATTCACCCATCCACACACGAAGTAGTTGAAAGCTTCCAGGCTTTTATACGCTTTCATCTGGCTAGCCGTGTAGTAGGAGGTATGAAGGACGAGGTAGCTGGTGATATCCATCGCCTCGAAAGCGGGCAAATCGGATATATCACGAGAAAAGTCGTTTTTTTTCAGCTGATACTTATCGTATCCGATGTGTGCTGTGATATTTTCACGATATCTGCAGGTTCATTTAATTGTTTGACATAGTCGGTGTCCTCCATGATTCCTGCGTTGATGAATGATTGCGTTTTCACTTCCTGACCTCCACTTGAATTTCGCGCATCATAGAAGTCACGTGACTGAAACCAAGCTATTGGATCAAATATAAAAGTCAGCCGAATTAGTGTTGATACTGCAAGGAGACGTATTGTGTGAAAATAAATGTAAGATGTTGTTTAATGGCTGATATATTTATGATCCACGTCACGTTTTCAGTTCCTCATGTTTGTCTAGAAGTCTTCTCATCAAGGCTCTATAAATAGAGAACTACAGCAGATATGTAATATTGAATGCAGCCGAACCGTGTATTACAATGACGTTATGTGATGACTTTCAAAGAGAAAAGCAAGAACACTCGGAATAAAGTGTTTTCGGTCTGTTTCCGGTATTTGTTTATGACGATGTGCTGTGAGATGTGAGACTGGAATTGCACAGGGGAAATAACGTTTCTATGCCACCATTTTAGATGCGGATTTTGTTAAACACTATACTTTGACGGGGAATGGGGTAGCAATAAAGATAACACCATTAAACAGTTACACAACATAACAGAAATAATATCGATAGCAGCGTCCCTAGCAACCACCTTGGTAACAATGAAAACGTTGTATAGACACAATTTCCTGAAGTAATCTTCGTAATAACTAGCAAACTAAAGATCATGTACATCCACTGCACACATAATCTGAAATAACAACTCATATTTCTCGCATCAAATGACATCAAAACGCATTTTAATGGCCAAACTAACCTTAAAATAGGCATTTTCCACCGAGAATAAAACGAAGTTCGGCCATGTTTTTTTTTTTCTGCAGGTAGAAATTTGAAGATCACTTGACATAGACGCCAGCCATTGGAATGAATGGTGAACAAAAACGTAGGGATCTTACAATTTCAGAGGCGTTTTTGTAGAAATACTAAAGCATTTTTAAAGGGATTTCTGTCTTTATAATATTATATAATTTTGAACAATAATATGAACAATTAACATATATCTTTTGCATTTTTGAAAGCTATTTATATATAATATTCAACAGTAATATTAACAATAAACATATTTATATTCATATATATATAAACGACAATATTTGCTAAATCCATGCTCTCATCCAGCTGCAGAGCGAAATATTCACTAGCTCTCACTTGCTCCAAAAGCTGAGCAGATACTCAGTTTCACTCTCAGTAGCGGCAGCTCAATTCTGATTGGCTTGA